AAAACAGAATTCAGCGTGCCATATTATGCATTATTTAATGGTATGCAAATTATCAGTCAGACAGTTAGGAAAGCCACACTTCAGCATTAATAAACAGCAATACTACTACTACACGAATTATGATATTGCTATGATTTATTACCAAGTTTTGCATTTTGATTCTCCTTGAAAATTTATTCCATCTGATAAGCAATAACCTATTTCCCCTCCTACACCTCCTACCCATTCCTCAGATCTGTCTCTCCGGCCCACCCAATGGGTGTCTGCAGGAAATGGGTACAGAAATACAAAGTCATAAGCAACTGCATTGTCTTATAAGCATCAATAATTAAAGAACAAGCAAACACCACCTAAAGCTCCAACATTTATTGTGTCAATGTTAAGCACACTTTTTAAAAGACAACATAGAATGTATAGAAACAAGGGGTCGGGGACTCATGCTCATTTCCACAATACGGGCAATTAGGTTGGCTGGTTTCAAAAGGGCCAGGACGTCACTCGGGACAGCGGCGGTCCACGAGCCCTCTCTATGGGACTGATTCACTATTCCAATGTGGGTCTGTTTTTTTGTTTTTACATTTTATTAAAAAATATAAATAAAACGGCACTGCAGGCCCAGGCAGGAAGGACTCTGCAGGACTCTGTCTTCGCACACGGCTTCTTGGAGGCTACTGTCAGAAAACATCACAGACTAGCAGGGCGACAGACCACGCAGATGTCGGCCGGGCGGCACACGTCCACCCCGCCCCTGGGGGCTTCAAATTTTCTCAGAACTTAAGGGCTCTCGAGCTTCCATCCGAAAACTGCCACACATCTTGAGCTCTCTGGGTACTACGCCGAATGGGGGTGTGTGAAGAACCTAGAAAGAGAACGGAGACAGAGGAAAGGGGGAAAAAAAAGTACAGGTGTGACTTGGCCCAGTGATTTTCTGTTCTCTAACTAGCTTTTCACAATTATAACTTAAATCAACCACAGGTTGAGCCACTGGCATCTTAAACATGAATTCAAACTTACCCTCCCCCCCAAATATCTGACCTCCGAGTGCCTTTCCCAGGAGCTCCCTCCCTGCCTTCCCCCAAAGGACCCAGGCCCTCTACCCGATCATATGATAGTCCTAATAAACTTGGGACACACCTGGAAGGAAACACTTTCCCTTATGACTGAGAAAACTTGAGTAGGAAACAGTCCTTTGGTTGAGGAGAACAGGGGAGGGAGGAGGGAAGGGGAACGTTTCCTTAAAATAATAATAAAATTATAAAGAAACAAAAAATCAAAATTGATGTAAAAGCAGCACAACGAAAACATGAAATGTCATCAAGTTCAACGTCAAAGCAGCCAACGATTTACAAGAGGCGAACAAATCCCTGAAGAGGAAAACCAGAACCCAAAATAGTTGCTCCCAAATTGCACCAAAAACTGCCTGCAGTCTCTTTCAAACATGCAGTTTTCTTTTCTTTTTTTTTCTTTTTCTCTCTTTTGTAAGGGGAAAGGCAATGGTGAAGGGAAGAAGGGAGTGGTTATTTTCCTCCGGGGCTCCACCCTTGCTGTGTGTACATTGACTTGAAGCAGCAGAACTGGGAGTCCGGATGTGCCGAGGAAGAGGGCTACCACTGTGGCATTCCAGGCCTCGTTGCCATGGTGACCTGAAGCAGGGGCCTGGGGCCTCCTCTCCCCTGACTTGGCTCCGCAGGAGGCCCAGGGTCTGGAGCTCAGCTGCTCTCAGGAATCCCCCCCTGAGCAGTGGAGACCTGGGCTGAGGGGCCTGCTGTGTCCAGGTGGGCTCTGGGAATCCCGTTCCCAGTCCAGTCCTAGGCCATTGTCGTTGAGGCCCCGTTAGCTGATACCCCATCAAATCCCTTTGTGAGACCTGCTACCAACATTGAAAAGTCTAACAAACAAAGCATAGCATGGGCATGTACCACGTTCACCATTATTTAAAAGCACAGCTCCCTGTGGGTTTGGGGGGGTCCTGATTTAAAGGATAGACTTTGGAGAAATCACTTACATTGCCTTTTCTGCTGTCTCGTAAAGACCTGATATATACTCCCTTTAAGTAGTCTTTGCCATTTTACAGAAAGGAAAACCAGTATTCGTTTCAGCCATCAAGTCGTGTTCAGCCGAGTTTCAGTTTTGAGCACAATGACCCATGTGCACTACACTGGTCTCCTTCCCCATTCAAAAGGGAGAATGAATCGCATCCTATGACCATAGATGACACTGGGAAACAGAGAGAGAGAGAGAAACAGGCCCATCCCCCTAAAGGCTGGTCCACTGGCCACGTTTTACCAAATGAAACAAGGCGCTAATGGGATAATGAGACGACAGCACACAACGTGTGCCCCAACAATTCACGTCTACAACTTGTAGCTGTAGCAGCCCTGGAATAAACATATGGAACCCCAACTCTGCCTACGTGTTCTCATGTCCATTTCTCTACAAGTGAGCTAATTTATTCTTAATTGGGAGAGCTGCAGGGTCCTAGGAGACACTTAGGAAAGTTTGCTAAGTGGCTCATGCCCTTTGCAAGTTAACAGTCTTTTTAAAACACATTTCTCCAACCAGGTTTGAAGAACACTGCCAATCCCATCCTCATACCAGCAAAATTCCCAGCATTTTTCTTTTCTAAATGGGAAGTTGTCTGAAAAAAAAAAAAGAGAGAGAATGGGATGGGTACATTCTTGAACACACCAGGCCCGGGACAATGGAGCAACAGAATCATCATGAAGACACGATTACAACACAGTCCTAAGAAATCACTTTTGTGTGTGTGTGGAGTGGGGGAAAGAGATTGAAAGACAAGGAAATACTGTATTTCCTCCCTCACACTCTCGAAGTAAAGTGTTTGAAAAAGGACAGAATGGGGCCTGAGGCCTCTCTGATCATTTTCAGAAAGGCTTGCAATACCCCAGGACCTTTTAAGAAACTTTGAGTGTCTGTGAATAAACCACCTCATTTCCTTGTTTCTCCAAATGAAATGATATCTAACCCTTACCGCCACTTCCTTTCAAATTCTCACCTCAAGTATTATGCACATATACAGTAGGTACTTATTACATATACAAAAATGGTATTTAAATAAACAGTGCTGTCACAGAATGCCCTGGGGAAAACTCAACTACTTCACACTTCCTGCCATTGCTGGCACAAATGAAGAACCCAGCGACCACCTCACTTCTTAGCAACCTTTAACACGTGTTCGTCAGTCCCGCAGGTCCTAAACAGACAGACAGTAAATGGTCTCCGGGTGGAGGCAGTCCTTGCATTGGGAGAGTTTCTGCAAGTCTGTGAGAAATAGCATTTGCTGTATTCCTGTTTAAGTTGTTCTCAAAGTGAAGATGAAAAGGAACATTTTGATAAGTGGCAGTTCAGGAATGGGGAGAACATTGCATCAACACATCAGGAAAGTCATAGAAGTTTATTTGAAAATTTTGAGAAATGTTAATGTTCTTAGCATTTTCTCATTTTAAAGGGATATCATGAATTCATCCCACTGTTGAAAGTGATTTTTGTTATTTTACATTAATATTTTTAATTCTAGGATTCTGGATGCAAGATGTCATCTATAAGTTATATTCTTGTTGTCTAGGTTTTCATGCTTCCATTGTTCCCTCAGCTTCAGAAATAATATTTTATAAGAAGGCTTCAATAAGCCAGAAGACTAAGTACCCTGAAGAATCTGTCTCCCAATAAATTTATTTAACTTTGGGATGATGTAAATCAAACATAATCTTTGATTTATTACCAAATGTTTGCACCCCTCCCTATTTGCCATTTGATTTAAGAAATGTGAACATATAAGTATACAGTATCTACCATTAATTCTGTCAGGATGAAAAAAACCTAATTACACTAAAAGCATCATATACTGGGAAATTAATATGAATACTGTATATACAACACGCGCAGCTGCATGCGAGCTCTTAAAAGAGTGATAGGGACACACGGTGATTTTAAAGACATTTAATATAGTGGAGCAGAAGTCACCATGTCTAAAATGGGCCTGGCCCTGAGGAATATCTCTATCCGTCTTAACCAGCATTCTGGATTCAGTTGTAAAGTAACCTAATCTAAAACACATACTGCTCCCCTCAGTTTACTTCCAATTATCAAGCTCTCCAAGTTACCTCCCCTGCCCCAACCCATCCCATCCCAGCTCTCCCAAGACCCCTCTTACCAGATTCCTCTCTGCTTCCCACCCAAATGAGCTTTAAAAAAATTAAGCCTACTAGATTCTCTTTATTTTAGAAAGATAAAGCTATTCTTGCCTCAGATAAAAGGCTTTATAAAAAGGCCACCTCACAGGCACCAGGGCGTAAGAACTGAGCAACAACAACAAAAAAAGCTACCACAGGAAGACAACAGAACAGCTTTTGTTTTGGTTTTTACAAGAATAAAAACAGTGTTGTATCCATTCGTCTACACTGGGGACGGGGAGACAGGATCACAGAGGTATGTGTTATAATAAAGCAAAGAGATGCTGCAACATGCAGTATTTGTTAAACTGACACACAGACTTCTGAGGAGGGCTGTTGAAAATAGACCTAACTTGCTTTTCAAAGATGATGATTCATCTCATAAATCTGTTGATTGGCCAAAAGATAATTAATTGAAGGGATATTCCCACCTTCATTTGCTATCTGCCAAGAAGACCCTATAAAAACACTTAAACGATCTGTCCTGTCTAGGGTCCCTAGCATGTCCGAGTCACAAGGCAAACCACCACACATCTCAGAAATCAGTGGCCAATTCCACAGGTGTGGCCACATCTAGCTAGACTCCTAGTTATCGCTTTCTTTCTTTTCTCTCTCTCTCTTTTTTACCTGATGCCATCATTTCTGGATTTTTAGTTTGGGGAGGTGTGTTTATTTTTGACATGAGAAAAGACTCTTATATGGAAATGAAAAAGCTGATTTCTTTAAAAAAAAAAACAAAAAAAAAACGAACAAACCTTGTTAACATTATGCTCTAGGATAGGATGGGGATGTTAGAATAGAGAAGAACTTTTACACAACAAGAACAGCAAAAAATCCAAAGGAAATAAAAGCTTAAGATGCTATTACCACTAAGTTTTTCATTTATATCTGAATGGATTACTGCTAAGAGATGGAGGGAACGTTTTTAACATCAGATTGAAAATTATTCTAGAACTATAAAGTCTAAAAACTACTTGCATGATTTGAGATATATATTTTTTAATATATAGTAAGTACTTTATGTTCCTTTAGGGTATAATGCATACATCAAAATGCCCATAGCGATATTCCTGAAAAAGACTGACTGGCCTTCTCTTAAAAACCTGTTACTTGCTTGAAAGTAATTTACAGAGTGTGTCAAATGAGGACACAAGAAGCTTACATCGTGTACTTTAATTTTTTTATTTTTTTCAATAAAGGGACAAAATGGGTGTATGAACAGGTTAATGCAGACAACTGCCAAAAAAAACACAGACAGTGGTTTTTCCAATAGAACTTAACAAAGACCAGAAACAAATACAATAAAAAGCCAGGTTGTAATGACCTTTGGTCATCCAAATAAAAAAAATAAAAACAAAGAAAAATAAAAGATCAAATTAAGTGCCTCTGTTTTGAACAGGGCACATAAGCAATAATAAATAGTGACTCCCATAGTAAAAGATAAAATTTCAAGTTACGACAAACAGCTTTCATTACAGGAATAGAAAAGGCCAATAACAAAATATTCTGCATTGCCATTTACAAAAAAGTATTGACTAAAGCGGGCTTTCTCTTTAATATGCTTTGCATATGAAATTCTTTCCAATCTAAATATAAAGCACCATTTAGTTTTTGGCAATGAAAAAAACTGCAAAACATTGTGGGTTTTTTTTTAATTTTTTTTCTTTCTTTCTTTTACTGCATATGAAGGTAAGATGCTGGAATGTAAGGGTGATAGAAGGAAAGGGACCAAAAGCACACTACATAACAAACCAACGTTATTCGCTTGCAGTACTGCATACAGTATGGCAGCAGGAAAAAGGAACAAAAAAGGATATGTACAACCCCATGACAGCCATCCGTGTGACATTCTAGCAGGCTCCCCCAAAACCGCCATTATATGGCTTCTCATTTGTACAATGTCACACTTTTTTGTTTCTCTCTCTTTTTTTTGAAGCATACAAATAATTTGCACTATATTATCCTGCCAAATTAAAAAAATATACTGTGGCAGCCTGTCTTTTTTTTTTCCACTACCAAAAAAGGTACATTGATACCTTTTAAGAGAACAAGCAACAGTTAAAAATACAAGCTTCAATATAAATACTATAGTGCCTAACACTAGATGAACATTTAATTCAAATACCATTCTAGAAATACAGAAAAAAGACCATAAATGTGTTTTAGCATAGGAATCAACATGAGTGTGCATTTTCCTATATTTAAGTACTATATAATCTTAAACCTTTCCCCAATGTATGTTTTTTTTTTACAACCTGAAGAGCGGTGTGTATCCAAGGCATAGAATTTCCACTACCATTTTTAAATGGATAACAAGTCTTGTAACACCACCAAGACAATAGAACCCTAAAATGCAGTTCCCCCCTAAACATAATGAAGTGTTTTTTAAAAAAATTTTTTCTTAACATTTATATTTAAAAAAGTTTTGTACAAAAAAATCCTTGCACTGTAGAAGCGAAAGCAATCATTCATTTCTATGTTAAGTGTATTCTGTTTTCCATTCACAGCGCTTGCAATGTTGAGTCCAAGTAAGTAAGCTCATTAGTCAAGTAAATGGCTGGCAAAGTTTTTTTTTTTTTTTTTTAGTTTTTTTTTAAATGCTCATCAATGAGATTGTGTTCAATTTTTTTTTCAGCATTCTTGCAACTTTTCCCTTAAGTATAGACCTGTAAACTGGGAAAATTGTACAGTGCACTTAATTGTCCTATCTGAGCAGGTTTATTTTATACTCAACCTCTGTATCTCTGATTAGAGAAAAGATACAGATATTACAGGCAGAGTCAAGTGCTATTTGAACACCAACTGGGGCAGATGCTAGCTTAATAAAAAGAAAAAATTTAAAAAATAAAATAAAGACAATGAATTCTCTTCCATGTTAACACAAATAGCACACAGTGTATGAAAAAGAAATGAAGTACAACTTTTAGGGAGCACAGACATATATACTGCTACTCTTAAAATTCTTTCTCTTCTTTTTTTAAGAATGTCACATTTCAATGCGTCTTAAGAATTCATAGTTAATCATCATTGTATCAATATTAGCTTATACACCTGTTCTAGTTTAAAATGGCAAATAGTACTATGTTGTGCTAATAAAATCACTTATTTTTTTTCCTCTGTTACCCTCTGTCAAGCCTATTGTCAGCCTCTCCTTTTTAATATGCTATACGAGGTCTTGAAGTTGATCCTCTGATTGTCCCTTTGACAACCAAGTGGATCTGGATCTATTTCTTCTGGTGCCAGAATTTTTTTTAAAAGACATTATTTAAAACAAGTATCTTCATGAAATGAATTCCTTCCTCATGTATTTAATCACGTTCCAGGGCTTTTGCACGTTGCACATTCAATGTAATCATCATTTTTTTTAAAAAGCAAAAACAAAAAACTTGGGGCAAAACAGCCCATTTCTTTTAAGCTCTCACCAGGAGCAAAACAGCTTTTATACTGGTATAATCAGTTTTGCTTAGAAGCTTAAACTAAAGGGGGAATGATGATTAACTAGGACATAATGGGTCATATTTTAGGTAGCCATTGTTGTGAGAAATACAATATAGAATTATACGATAGGTCCTAAGGTTTATTACCTTACCCAACGCTGAATTAAGCTACAAGTTTATAACAAGTAGAAAGAACCATCAACATGGTTTTAATAGATCCAAGGCACTCATTTTAAAACCAAATGATAGAATACACTTGTTTTGTTTTTCTATTAATTTGTCAATTCAAGGCCTTTTTTTCTCTCCAATTAATACATTTTAACCCTTTAGAGACAGACATTTAGCTCATAGAGATTTTCATTCAGTACTACCTATTCTGTCTATAGAGGGTTAATCCAAAGACTTGTTTTTCCTCCTCACGTTATAAAATAAAACTGTACATGATATGTATTACAGAATGTATGCAGCATGGTCTTTTTCTCTCTCTCTCTCTTTTTCTCTCAGAACGAAACTGGAAACAGCAACATTTTTGCCCAACAACGAATTGGGGACAATTTAAAATAGCCATAACATACCATACATGCTGTCTAAGTTTAAAAAAAAAAACATACACAACATGTAAATTATTGCACAAGAGAAAAGGCTCAAAGTTTGCGTAAAATGCAATAGTATTGCCCCATACAGATCATGCATTCAAACGGTGAGAACATAAAGGAAAAAAAGAAAAAGAAAAAAGAAAAAGAAAAAGAAAAAACAGGTGTGCTGGTGACAAGCACTCTCATATTCTTAGCTTCCGTTACTTGTTTGTTTGTTTGTTTGTTTGTTTAAATCACATGGGACTAGAAAAAAATCCTACCAGGAGTGGGGCTGGAGGCAATGGGGAAGAGGGGTGGTGAAAAAGGAGGTGTCAGGTGGGAGTGAGGGAGGGGTATTAATATACCTCTATTCAGTTTTTATATCATTATTCAACACTCGATCACTGTGCCATTTTTTCATGTGTTTCTCCAGGGTACTGTACACGCTAAAAGGCATCTTACAAATTTCACATTTGTAAACGTCCTTCCCCACCTGGCCATGCGTTTTCATGTGCCTGGTGAGCTTGCTACTCTGGGCACAGGCATAGTTGCACAGCTCGCATTTATAAGGCCTTTCGCCCGTGTGGCTTCTCCTGTGGACAGTGAGATTGCTACAGTTCTTGAAGACTTTCCCACAGTACTCACAAGTGTCGCTGCGTCTGCCCTCTTTTGAGCTGGGCCTGCCCGGGCCCGGACCACTAATATGGGGCGTGCTCCCTCCACTTCCCGTGCCGCTGCGCCCCGAGATCCCTCCGTCCAGCTCCCCGGGCGGTGTGGAGAAGCGCAAGCTCCCGTTCTCCGAGGAATGCTCCGACGAGGAGGCGAAAGGCGATTGTCTGGAGTCTCCGAAGCTAAGGAAGGGATCTTTGAGTTGCCTGGAGGCCGCGTAGCCGGCAAGCCACTGCGAGTACACATTCTCAGTGTTGGGCATCGCGGCTGGGGGCAGATCGAACTCCTTCTCGAGCTTGATGCGCTTGGAGAAGGGGCTCAGTGAGCTAGGGCTGCCCAGTAGCAGCTTTTTGGACAGGCCCCCAGAGGCCGATTCGCCCGGGGAGCAGCCACGGCCGTTAACAGTGCCATCGTCTATGCGGTCCGACTCGCCGGCCACCGAGTCTTCATCACAAGTGTCCCTGTGGCCCTCAGCCTCGGCCAGGTGGCCGCGCTTATGCTTCTCGCCCAGGACCTGGTGGAAGGCCTCGCTGAAATGCTGCATGGAACTGAGCACCATGCCCTGCATGACATCGGGCAGGGCACGGCCCTCATCGCCCACGCCCACCACGGCGCCCCGCGAGCTGTTCTCGTGGTGGCGTGCCGCCTCCAGGCTCAGCCCGAAGCCGTAGTCCACCCTCTCACTCTCTGTCAGCTCCTCCTCCTCCTCTTCCTCCTCTTCTTCCTCTTCCTCGTCGTCCTCCTCTTCCTCCTCGTCCCCGTTCTCTGGGATCAGGTTCGGATCGTTCTCGCTCTTGAACTTGGCCACCACGGACTTGAGCGCGCTGCTGGCGCTGCCCACCAGGTCGCTGGTGCCGGGTTCCGGGGAGCTGGCGGTGGAGAGGCCATCGTCAGACTTGACGGTCATGGGGGATGACTTGTGCATGTGCGTCTTCATGTGGCGCTTCAGCTTGCTGGCCTGCGTGCACGCGTGGTCGCACAGGTTGCACTTGTAGGGCTTCTCACCCGTGTGGCTGCGCCGGTGCACCACCAGGTTGCTCTGAAATTTGAACGTCTTGCCGCAGAACTCGCATGACTTGGACTTGACCGGGGGCTGGGAGGGAGGAGGGGCGGATTGCAGAGGAGGGAGGGGGGGCGTCGCCAGGAAGGGCGGCTTGCTACCTGGCTGGAATGGTTGCAGTAACCTTTGCATAGGGCTGGGCCGGCCTGGGGACAGCGGTGGGCTAGACGTGTTCCCTGCCAGCTCTCTAAGTCTCCTAGAGAAATCCATGGCGGGAGGCTCCATAGCCATTGGGTTCAACCGCAGTACCCTGTCAAAGGCACTCGGGTGATGGGTGGCCAGGGCCATCTCTTCCGCCCCCAGGCGCTCTATGCGGTGGGGGTCCAAGTGATGTCTTGGTGGTGGACTAAACAGGGGGGGAGTGGGTGGAAAGCGCCCTTCTGCCAGGCCGGAAGCCTCTCTGGATACTGATCCTGGTATCCTTAGCAGGTTAAAGGGGTTATTGTCTGCAATATGGATCCCATGGAGAGGTGGCTGGGAAGGACATTCTGCACCTAGTCCTGAAGGGATACCAACCCGCGGGGTCAGGGGGCTTCCATGTTCGCTTTCTAAGTAGATTCTTAATCCATGAGTGTTCTGTGCGTGTTGCAAGAGAAACCATGCACTGGTGAATGGCTGTTTGCAAGTTGTACATGTGTAGCTGCTGGGCTCATCTTTACCTGCAAAACAATACAACACCAACATCAATGTTTAATCACCGAGGAGGGCATCAGCAATTGCTTATTTATGTTCTGCCTCCAGCCTGCCCTGCCCCCAGCCCTCAGCCCCAAGGCCCAAGCCCTTCCTGACCTATCCCTTGTGCCTGGCACATCCAGTAGTTGGCACCCAATAAATATTTGTCCAATCAGTCTTCCTGCCACTTAACTGAGTTCTAAGAATTTTAAATCCAGTCTCCAAAGCAGGAAAATCTAGACCAATTTGAGCTTGAGGATGATATTCCCTACAGTCTAGGGACCTCAGCAAACATCTCCTGAACTTTCCAGCCTTCCACCAGCTTTCGTTGGGGAAGCCATTTCCTATCTGTGCCTCCATTTTCTCATCTAAGTAAGAGACTTGGACAAGGAGACGTAAGGGAAATTTTCCTGCTCCCTAAATCCCATTATTCTACTCCCCCCCGGGGTGGCAGGTGAACTTTCCAAATAGGCAATCCTTTCACAGAGATATCAAAAAAGAGCAGGTCAACTCATTACAATGGTCTATGGCCCCAGAGATGCTTTTCATCTTAGCCTGAAACACATTAATTGTTGATATTGTTAAAAATGAGAAGGCACTCAAAAACTAATTCCATGGGAGAGAAACTATCAACATTCTCACATCCCGGCCTGTGTGAGGGTCAATGAGTCCCAATTCTAGTTCCACAATGCCCGACAAGGACTCCCATTTTTATCTCAAGGGATGTTGTGAAAAATCTCAAAAGAAATTTAATTCAGATTTAACCAACTGTCCATGTCAAATCTTTAGAAGTTACCCCCAAACAAACGCAAGCCTAGAGTTAGGAGGAGAGGCTGGTGCCAACTTAGGCCAACACCGCATCCTAGCTTAAGGACTAAATTAGAGCAGCCAGCGCCGTGACCGGCCGCGGGCTGAGAAATGCCACACTATCCTCCTCCTCATTATTTTGAGAGGCTAACAACATGATCCAAACTATACAACATCCTGCACCCTCGGCTGCGCCTCAGCTCCAGTTGAGAAAGAAACAGAAAGATACAGTTCAGCTAGTCAACTCTTTGGCTAGTAGCCAAGCCGTCTGGAGAGGGGCCCTGCTTAAGTCACATTATTTCTCTCTCGTTGAAAAGAACCCGAGAGTGGTAAATGCCACTTCGGCAAAGAGGGGCCAGCTTGACTTCACAATCATTCATATTTGGAGATAGCTAAATTAAAAAAATCATATATACGCCAAGGGAGTAACTAACAGTTTACCAGTCAACTGCGGCATTAAAGAGGGCGCAACTGTTGGTGGCCAAAGGGCAGGAGGAAGAAAATAGACAACTTCCCAGGGATTCCCAAAAAGATAGTATATAGAACACAGATGAGAAATAAACTTTAGCCCCTCTCTTAAAAGAGGGGCCAGAAAAGTTCCTGAAAGCCTTGGGTAGTAACTTCTTTTAAAAGGAAAAAAATTCACCAGGAGCTAGAGTGGGAATGAGGAATTAACTCAATCATGATCCCTCCATTTAGTGAGTCCGAAAGAAAAGCTAGCAGCGTGTCTTCTCAGCCCCAAACACTCATATTCCAAAACAAGCCAGCCTCACTCAAGCGCTTGTCTGAATAATGGACTCCCTGCCCTGACCTTGTAATTTACTTTACAATGCATTTATAATCTCACTCAATGTATCCCACTCCTGGGTAAATCTCTTTAACAAGATTAGATGATAAGATACCAAAATTAGGTTTTAAACATTTGCCTAATTCGGAGGGGGAAAAAAAGGCAGAAAGATTTTGAAAGAAAATGCTGACATTAGTATCACATTATCTGCCTATTTTTGTTTGCCTCCTCTCTTCCAAAGGAAATAGAAAGCATCACTGAGAGTATTTTCATATATTTTTTTACTTGGGTCCTAAATAGGCAGGAAAAAACTATCTGGTTCCAACTGCGGTGACCCTCCATGGCTTTCTCCTTTGCCTGTCTAGGACTCTGTGTCATTATCATACATTTAGCCTGACAATCTGAATCGGGTGAGTGAAAAAGGTGGTTTGCAGCTGAAGCAAGTCCTTAACACTTTCATCACTCCAAATGCCTTAAAATCATATTTCACCTTATAAATATTCTGTTGAAACCCAGCGCTGGACCCATTGCCATGAACATGGATGGCCGTTGATAAATGCTGAGATCTGCAGAGCGCTTCCTTGAGGACCTCGTCTGTACACTTGGCTTAGCTGAGAAAAGTCCGTTCTATTTTGCTGCTCTGAGCTCCCTAAAATTTTGTTTTCGGAGCCCACATAATCACGCCACAGAACGTGAACACTGTGCTGTTACCCTCCCCTCTCTCCCATACATCAGGTCAGAGAAAAGGCCATTTCATCTTCTAATGAGCACACAACATACAGTTTTCACTATCGAGTTTTAGTGTTCCCATCAACTAGATATTCTGGACCGTGAGGGCAGCCAGTGTAATCATAATGTCAATGAGAAGGGCTGTTACGATTGAGACCAAAGATTACATGGAAAGAGCTGCTTTGAAACTGGTAATTATTACCAGTCCACTAATAGCAAATGATGCATTACAGTTTCCCCATATAATCTGTATTCACTCAGCTCATGCCAGGGTACCATATTATATTACAGTGCTCACAGATTCTAAATTCCTAAACTGCAGTCATCAATAAATGTGTTGCTTGCCATAATTTGTGAAATTACTTTGTTCATAACATCTTTGATGGTTTAGAAAGACCAGAATTGATTTCCTGCGTGGCAAAATTAGGGCTACATTGATTTATTGACTTGTAAAATATAATAATATTCTTCATTTACTCTGATGAAAATCAACTTCTCAATTTGAGAGCCTCATTGGGCAATCACAGGGCTTGTTTTGATTTAGAGCAATAAGCTGAGACCTGGCCCCAAACACAGGAACTCGAGGCATCAAAATGGTTCAAATGTGCTATTAGCTCACCTACTGGCTTTTATTTTATTTCACTTTATCGTATGGGAAGGAATGACCCCATTTCTAGTTTGTCAGGTGATTAAAAAGTCACATGTTCAAAGCCTTGGGACTTAAAAAATCAAGGAGATCTGATGCTGGACCCTGGGCTCTGTGATGTATTAGTTTGTGGCTCTGGGACAGTCATTTAATTTCTCTGAGCCTTAGGTTTCCTATCTATAAAACGAGCATAAAAACAATACCTTAAAGAATCGTGAGGCTCGAATAAAAGCCCTCTGTAAACTATCAGATCCAACATGAATGTGAATTTTCATTACTACCAGGCTTGACTGGTTACCTAGCTTGATGACTAACCCCGTTACACACCCAGAAGGCACCTGGGGGTGGGGGTGGGGGGGAGTTGGAGTCTAGAATCCAGGTCTTACTTCAAGCCAAGGGGAAGCTGGGTTAGAGGAAGACCAAAGGGGGCTGTTTTAAGGACCATGACTGCACCCACCAGAAGGGAGGCCTCAAGAGAAATGCTGAGTGGTCTGAAATCCTGGTGAAGGCCGCTGAATGGGGTGGAGGCCAGCTTGGCTCTAGAGCTTTCCGGAGCCCCACAATCCATTTCCACATACCTTGTTCTGGTCACTCCTAAACTGGTCCTGCCAGCAGGGGCTCCAGCAAACCGGGCGCCCTCCCTTTGCAGGGAACACAGGGGTTCCACATGAGGCTCCTACTTTCCCACCCCTCAGATCAAACTCCCTACCCTCAGGAGGATCAGTGGAAGAGAGAGAAGTAAACTGATCCCCAGGCCAGCAGCCCTTGGCCGCTCAGCTCCACCCTTGTCTCTACTGCCCTACTTCCCCACCTCCCTCTTCCCTCCAAGGGTGGCTCTGTTCCCACAGCCAAGTGTGGGGCCCCAGGCACCCCCAGCCAAACAAGAAGCACTCTCCCCACCCAGGACTTAGTCAGCATGTAGGGACTCGAAATCATGAGTCCAACCTCCTAAATCTGCAATCTGTCACCTAAGCAGGCTTAGGCCAAGTTTGGTGTGGAGGGGACGGGGTAGGGGGTTGGGGGGGACCAGAGGAGGTGACTTTAGCCCCTGCACCACCCAACCCTCAGGACCCAAGGGCTCATGAAAGTCACTCGATAAATCTTTGTTTCCTAGGATGACCTAAGAGTTAACAAAAATAAACAACTGGCTGTCGGCCTGGTCTCAGGGAGCACGCCTGCTGCAGACCCCGTTCACGGGTCAGTTTGCCTCCCATCTAAAATCCAGGCCCCTTTTGTAGCCTCGACTCCCGCATCTTGTTCTTTGGTATTCTCTCCTATGACACTCGCCTTTTTTTTTTCTTTCCACAACAGGTTACTTTTCATTTACTTTCAAAATAAAAATATATTCACACTAGTTTTTTTCTTAAAGCTGCTTTTTCATGTGTTTGGGGTAGAATCAGCCCCCACCCACCTTTTTAGCCCTGCATGACTCATATCATTTATTCCCACATAGAGAAGCAAGCCGTGTGACCCTCAGAAACAATATTTTCCAAAAACATTTTTATAAAGACACAAATCTAAATTTCATAAAAAGGTCTCCACTATGAAATTTCACTTGAATAAGCAGTGGTGGTGGTGGTGGTGGTGATGGTGGTGGTGGTGGTGGTGATGGTGGTGATGGTGGTGGTGATGGTGGTAGTGGTGGTTGAGGTGGTGGTGGTGACGGTGATGGTGGTACTAGTAATGGTGGTGGTAGTGGTGGTGGTTGTGGTTGTATCTTTGCATTTTAGCCACAGTCCTATGAATTTTCCTTAAAACTAAGAGAAAAATGAGTAGAAATTACATATGTATGCACATATATAATGCACCACATATATATATAAAAATATACCATTTTAAATACACATGTAAATGCATATATAACATGCATGAAAATAACTTCGGAGTAACTCTAAACTGACTCCCTTTGGTTCCGGCCTCTGCTAAAAATGGATGCCCTGGAATAATTCGAAGTCTTAAATGAGGCCATGGGAGTGACTGTCCAGCAAGAAAATGGACTCTGACCACGCAGACATACACAGTCAGCAGCCACAGAGCCAGGCAAGACCCTGGGCGGGAGCCCCGCAGGGACAGGCTGCTCTGCGCTCCCTCGTGTCCTCAGTGTGGAAGAAAAGAAAAAAGGGGAGGGAGAGACTGAGTGGAATGGTGGACTGGGTGCCAAGTGAGTAATGGAATAATACATTTGCGGATGCCAGTCTATTTTGGAAGTAACTCCTTTCAGTATTTAAAAAAGTCAGGGTAATTTCCAGAAACTCTCATCTCTATACACATGAACATTTGTAGAAGAAATGATGCTCAACTTACAAATACCCTGCGGGGCATATTCTGCACTCATCCCGGGCGTGGGGATTAGAGCTCCGTGTGCAGAACGAGGGGAGGAGAGGCCCCTCCAGTGCAGCAGTTTATCTGTGGAAGAAACCCAAAATCAAGCACTAAAGCTATGAACAATGTGCACCGTAAGCCACCGGATATCACATTTCAATTCCATTCAAATAAATTAACATCATTACAACAGCCTTGCAGATAGTTAGCAGGCCCAGCACCTGTATCCAAAGAATAGTGATGACTTATTTCCCACAGTTTTGTTTTATTGTTAATTTTGGTCTTTTTGACGAAAGGAAAGAAAGAATTCTGTTCTTTTATTATGGGGGCTTTTGTAGGTATGGGGGGGTGGTTCTTTCATTCATTTGCTTGTTGGTTACTGCTTGATGATTGTTTTGCAACAAGATGTGAAAACAGGAAGGGGAAATTGGTAATATTATGGTATTACCACAGGCTGGTAAAATGGGGGATTTATCTGCAAGGCTGGTTCACATGCATACATTTACTTTACTTTAAAGACAAGCCCAAACAAAAACAACACACTAATAGGAAACAAGTAGATTCATAAATCATTCCTTCTTGGAACACAGTCCCACTGCCCACTCTGACCAGGCTGTAGTTATGACAGCACCTTCAATGACAGGGAGACCGCAGGCACATCAGGCCTAAGTCGGGCCGCACTCCAGGCTTCTCTATCAGTAGAGTGCCCCACACAGGCGCAAAGCAGTGGAGAACAGAGGTTAGACTTCTGAAGTTAAAATAACTTTGGCCAATACTCACCATGAGTGAGGAATCCTCCCATTAAATGATGGGAGAAGAGAACCAATTTTCCAATATAGAGGAACCTAGAAAAGGCGGCTGACCTTCTCCATTCTACTGTACCTTGTTGCACTCTGATGAGGAAAAATGACTTCTCTCGCTAATAAAACATAAATCTAGCAGTAAATCAAGCATTTCTAGCACTAGAATTTTTGTGAGAAAGGAAACATTTGGTTTGTGCAACCTGGGGATTCTATGGTGGATGTGGTGAGTTCCCAGCTTTTCCAAGTGCACCTTGAGCTAACCAGGCCTGCAGAGGTCAGCCCTCAGACAGAACAGAGGGCAAATGGAGCAGGCGGCGCTCGGTGTGTTCTAGAGGTTTGGCGTTTGTGATGGTTGGGGGAGGCAGGAGAGAAGAAAAACAGACTTTGATGGTGAGTAAACAGAGTGGGTTCTTCACTAGCTTACTATTAAGAGCACTTAAAAGTGAGTGTTGTTGGACTCCAGGACAGCAGGTCTCACGTGTAATATACACTCTATTCTCCTTACACAGATCACATCACCCAGAAGAGCCCAGGCAGGCGGCGCAAGGTTTCCCTTCATGAGGACCTGGTGGCTAACAATGTCATGGGGCTCATGGAAGCTCTTCCACAGGCAAGACAGCAGAAGTCTGTTGTCACCAGGGCTGCGAAAGGAGCCTCCTGTGGAAGCTCCACCCAGCCCAAGACCACCTATAGAGGCATGTCTTCCCCTCCGACCCCAAACAAAATAAATGCCGCAAAATGAGCCAGCAAAAGTAGGAAGACCGGACTCAAAAAAAATAAGTATGTCTCCATTTGACTGTTTGTGTTGAATGCATTGAGAATGTAGGGTAGAATTAACCACAGATTTTGTCATAGTGTTTTTCGATGAGAAATCTGAGAACTCATTTTTCCACTTGTTCTTACCTCGGCTATTTAATAACTGTGTGTAAACGAGACTTTCTTAGGCGATCTGCACAACCGAGGTATCTCTGTGACCCCAGCATGAAAGCACCAACGTACCTGAACCTTGTAGGGAAGTTAGGGAGAGTCTAATTTCAAATTCCCCACCACTCACTCTGGGAAGACACCCTGAGGTGACTCAAGAGGCCTCTAGCAAGAAAGGGGGGAACTGTTAACCTAAACCAGGCCTGACCGCTGCACATCCTCAGGTTAGCAAACCTGCCCACAAGCCCAGTGGCCCTGTTCTCCACAGCACCAGGCCACGCGACGCCGTGAAGGCTCATCACAGAGAGTGCTGAGGATCTGGCACCATGGTTTGGTTCGGTTCGGTTTGGTGTGGTGTGGATTTTCTGAGTTGTAAAAAGCCTGAGAGATCATCGAATCCATGCCTTCATGTTACAGATGGGAAAACTAAGACCCTGAGAAACTAAGTGACTGGCCCACGGTTATACTGGCGCCACGAAGCGAAGATGAGAATCAGCCCAGCCCCCGACTCCTCATCCAGTGCTCTCTCCTGGGATGTCCATCTATATCCTCCCTCTGCCGTTCCTGCCCTGGTCTTCACTACCAAGGGCCAGTGAGGAAGGCTCTCCTTCTCCTGACCCATTAGGAGAGACAACCTCTTGTGACCCCTTGGGCGACAGTGCAGCCCAAAGGTGTTGCGTAGGCCTTTCAAAGGGTCCTAGTGAACTGAGTCAGTTTTAGAACTGGACAATAACACCTGATCTGCTTCTTGCGACTCTCGGCTCACCCCCACTGCTTCCACCCTCTACCTCTGCTTCCCCTGTAGAGTTAGCCAGCTGCAGAGAAACAAGCCATTCCTGTCACCCTACTGAGCCGCTGACCTTGTCTTTGTCAGACAAACTCACACTGGAGTTTCTCTTCCTCCAGGAAGTGCCCGAGCGCAGGCAGCGGGGAAGCCCAGCTGACTCTGCCGCCTCCCCACTGAACATCACGGCCACAGCGCTCTCCTGGGCAAGGGGCACCAACATTCCCACAGGAACCAGACATGCTAAACTGTTAATAGCCTCCCTAAGGTTTAACTTCTTGCTATGATGCTTTAAATTATTTCATCACAGTTTAGGCAGAGTAAAACTTCACAATTAATGCTTCTAAGCATCACCCTCAAAGTGCAGCTCTGCCTTCCCAGGCCACCCCTGACTGAAGGCTCTTGTCCCACCTGCACTGTCGTTCTCCCCAGGCAGAGGTGGGCTTGGGCAGCTGACTAGTGGGTGGTCCAGCTATGCTCTCTGTGTGTCCTTGGTGGTACTCTTAGGGCAGAGGTTCTCAAAGCACAGACCCAGGCCCAGCATCAGCAACACCTGGAACTCGTTGGAAGTGCACATTCTCAGGCCCCACCTCAGACCTACTGAATCAGAAACAGGGTTCAGGGTCAGGGGGCAGCATTCTGCGTTTAGAAAGCCCTCCAGGTGATTCACACACACAACTCAGCGTAACAGGCCCCATCTCTGGGTAAAAGGACGCATGGAAGCTGGAAGCTCTGGCAGAGACCCATGGGCTGGGAGGCTCTGTCCCTGCTGTCTGGGAATCACCTCCCTGGGTTGACCAGCCCAAGCAAGAGGCCCTGGCTCTCTCCAGCAAGCAGGGAATGCTCTTTGCATAAGACAACATCAGGTGGCGTCCCCACCGCTTCTGTAAAAGCTGAAATGTTGGAAGCTATGGCTCCTGCACGGACGGAACGAGAACTGGACTCCTGGTTCCCCTGCCTGGGCTCTCAGAGGTGGCATGGCTCTCTTCTGAATCAACCTTTCAAATGCCTTGACTCCTCTGGTGAAATCGAGGTTTCATCAAGGTTTCTTCGGACGCAGCATATCCACTCGGGGCCTCAGAACTGCCTCGTGCACTGTCAGGCTGCAGGGTTTTCCTTATGGCTGGATAACGATAGGGAATTTCTTTCAGGTATCAGTAAAAATATGCGATGAATTGGGTAGGATTTTGATTCCATGTTACACTTTGGTCCCTGTACATTTCTGTATACACCGAGTCCCAACTTTCGATGCACAGCTCTATAAGCCCCGTTGGATGTCCCTGGAATTTAAGTTACTAAATCAAGTTTTAGGTTTCCTCGAGAACATCTCCAAGATCCCTTTACTACTGGCATACTATTCATTTCTGAAATTAATCGCTGGGTGTGTAATACAGCTACATGACTGTCCGCTAATCACCAAGTAATACTGCTCACCTACAAATGTGCCCAAACAGTGAAGCACGAGGCATCATTTCCGACACACTAACGACTGCCCTGTGTGCCCAGCTTTCACCAGGCATTAAAGCCCCAGACCTCTCTAGGAGTACAGAGACATACAGAGGATTGCTCTTCACTAAAATGTATGTGTACATACACATATTTTTTCTTAAGCTTTTTTTAAAAAATAACTTCCTTGCTTTTACAATGAGACAGGGCACAAAAGAAGTCAAGCTGTCCCCAAGAGGAATGGCTACCTTCTGAAGCCGTGACCTCCTTTCCACCCCAGATCTTCAAGAAGAGAAGGATGCCAACCCACCATAATAGAGAGGGATCTCTGCTCTGGGGACATGCCAGAATAAAGGACCATTACCACCCCTTCCAGCTCCAAGATTCTCAAGTCTTCTCCCCACCCAGCCAGGAACTAACTTCTAGACTGCACTTAAAACGCATCCTGAGGGTTGGTCAAGTTCCCTGAAAGAACCAATTCCAGTTCAAGCAACATCACTGGATCCAAGTCACAAAAATAACAACAGTGCCACCAGTCTGGGCGAGAGGCTTCTTTAACCAAAAGCAAATTCACTGAACATCTTTCTAGCTTTTGACCCTCAGTTTACAATGGATGATGACAGCTCTCCTTTGTCAGATGCAGTGACTCACCAGCATCCTAGAGAGCACGTACAAGCTATGCCTGCACCTTGAGTGGGGTCAGTCTCAACTGAGCATGTGCCGGCTTTATCACTGCTAACGGACTCCTCAATCAACCTCCCAATGTAATCAAAATCACTTTCCCTTTTGTCCTACACATAAACATTCCCATGAGCATTTTTTTCCATCCCTGCCTCTTACTAGCTAAGGTTTTACCAAATCGTGATGCTCTTTAAAAAGTGCATCCTGTACAGATGAAAGCAAGAAAGAATTCTACAGATGCCACGCTACAGAATTTCTGCACTGAAAACTTGGCCATGGTTCTTGTATTCCTTGGTACTTACTTCATTAGTGACTTTAATTTCATCAACCACTCGTTTTCTCTTTTGGCCAATTCTGTCCTTTCGGAGCCTTCATCATCTGCACAACACGTTACTGACCTCACCGCAAGAGTTCTCACCCTACACATTCACTCTAGGAAGGGAGGG